GGTCGACACGGGTAGCAAGAAAACAGGCCATGCCCACTGCAATATAAGTTTATTTGTTGTATTTACACTTTTTTTGAAAGTTTCTTTTGTATTATTTCATTGCCTTTAAATGTTACCAGGATTTTAATGACACTTTAATAATCATATCAACAATAATAATAACAGTATCAATATCGATAAATGAGAAAGAAAAATATTTTCCCGCAATTCCAAGGAATGGAGAAATCGAGCGGGCAGCGGGGCCTACTGATACACTCCCTGCTGGCTTATCGCGTGTGGAGCCTTTTTTATGTAACAAAATTCATTTACAAAGCTGCAGGGGCAGTACATGAATCCGTACTGGTTGGATTAACTCAACAGAATATATATACATAATATTTTTATCTTTTTATTATTATAATAATAGACCTCTTATACGAATTTAGTCTTCGGCGGAGTCGCTCCATTTTCTTTTACTGTTATCCATTAGCTACAGAAAACGGTTTGGAGGACAGACTAATATTAATCAATCGCCCTTACTTACAGTTTTTTATATATAAAACTTATTAACAACCAATTGAATCTATACATTATTTTCCACAACTATTCTTCTGGTACTAAAATGATAGAAATTAACAAATCTATTTATTGCATTTACACATAGATGACTCTGCAAGTGCTGAGTCCCTAATGAGTCAGTTATTAGTCTTACCTATCTTACCTGGTTACCCTTTTCCTCGACTTTTGGAGAGGGTTTTTTGTATTATTTCATTGTCTTACAAGTTATCGAGATTTTAAGAACAATTTGATAATCATAACATAAATAACAATAATAGTATCGATATTAACTATATTAAAAGAAAAACATCTTTTCCCGCCAATTCAAAGAATGGGAAATAAGGATCGGACACTAGGGCCAACTGATAGCCATCTGTATGTAACAAAATTCATTTACAAAGCTGCAGGGGCAGTACATGAATCCGTACTGGTTGGATTAACTCAACAGAATATATATACATAATATTTCTATCTTTTTATTATTATAATAATAGACCTCTTATACGAATTTAGTCTTCGGCGGAGTCGCTCCATTTTCTTTTACTGTTATCCATTAGCTACAGAAAACGGTTTGGAGGACAGACTAATATTAATCAATCGCCCTTACAGTTTTTTATATATAAAACTTATTAACAACCAATTGAATCTATACATTATTTTCCACAACTATTCTTCTGGTACTAAAATGATAGAAATTAACAAATCTATTTATTGCATTTACACATAGATGACTCTGCAAGTGCTTAGTCCCTAATGAGTCAGTTATTAGTCTTACCTATCTTACCTGGTTACCCTTTTCCTCGACTTTTGGAGAGGGTTTTTTGTATTATTTCATTGTCTTACAAGTTATCGAGATTTTAAGAACAATTTGATAATCATAACATAAATAACAATAATAGTATCGATATTAACTATATTAAAAGAAAAACATCTTTTCCCGCCAATTCAAAGAATGGGAAATAAGGATCGGACACTAGGGCCAACTGATAGCCATCTGTATGTAACAAAATTCATTTACAAAGCTGCAGGGGCAGTACATGAATCCGTACTGGTTGGATTAACTCAACAGAATATATATACATAATATTTTTATCTTTTTATTATTATAATAATAGACCTCTTATACGAATTTAGTCTTCGGCGGAGTCGCTCCATTTTCTTTTACTGTTATCCATTAGCTACAGAAAACGGTTTGGAGGACAGACTAATATTAATCAATCGCCCTTACTTACAGTTTTTTTATATATAAAACTTATTAACAACCAATTGAATCTATACATTATTTTCCACAATTATTCTTCTGGTACTAAAATGATAGAAATTAACAAATCTATTTATTGCATTTACACATAGATGACTCTGCAAGTGCTTAGTCCCTAATGAGTCAGTTATTAGTCTTACCTATCTTACCTGGTTACCCTTTTCCTCGACTTTTGGAGAGGGTTTTTTGTATTATTTCATTGTCTTACAAGTTATCGAGATTTTAAGAACAATTTGATAATCATAACATAAATAACAATAATAGTATCGATATTAACTATATTAAAAGAAAAACATCTTTTCCCGCCAATTCAAAGAATGGGAAATAAGGATCGGACACTAGGGCCAACTGATAGCCATCTGTATGTAACAAAATTCACAAAAAAAAAAAATATATATATATATAAGGGACAGAACATAATTTCGGGGCGGTTGGGTTAAGTGCGCATGATGAGAAAAAATTGCTTCCGTGATCCGCTTGAATATAAATCTATAACACTAAACAACTACAACACTAAAAAGTGTTCTATCATGCATTATATAAGAGCATCAATCACATTGAAAAGTATATATATATATATATATATATATATATATATATATATATATGTATATATATATGTGTGTGTGTGTGTGTGTGTGTGTGTGTACACACACACATATATATACATATATACATATACGTATATATATATATATATATATGTGTGTGTGTGTGTGCATCTCTCTCTCTCTATCTATCTATCTATCTATCTATCTATATATATATATTGTGTGTGTGTGCGAGTACACATACACACACACACGCACACACACATATATATATATATGGAGAGAGAGAGATACACGTATATTTGTGTGTATATATATATATGTGTGTGTGTGTGTGTGTGTGTGTGTCCGAAAGAAAAATATTGGAAGATCTGTTGATTAAAAAATACCTAATTCCAACTTGATTGCTGGTCGGTGGGGTTGGATGACCTTCTATCGTCATTAGTAAGCAGAGCCCTCATTAGACTATTTGACCTTGCGCCTCCCCCCTCCTCCTCCGAGGCCCTGAGTCGGCTCTTGTTTTATTGTCGGTCTACCACTTCATCATCCATTTCCAACTGATGAGGAACTCAAGACACTACGATTCACACACAGACACACACACATTCACACATACATTCACACACACTCACACACACACTCACACTCATTCACACACTCACACACACACACACACACACAAACACACATATATATGTGTGTGTGTACACATATACATGTGTTTTTTCTTTTTTTTCCGTATGTGCTTGTGTGTGTTGTGTACGTGTCTGTTTTAGTCTTGTTTTGCAGTAAAGCGTAAAATATATAATGCCCTCTAATAAGACCTGCGATAAGATAAACAAAATCTCATGAACGTGACATTTACAAATCTCACAAATCCATATATTTTTATGTTAGTTAAAAAAAAAAAAATGTAAACTGACGAGATATCTTGATTCCTTTATTGAAGTAGTGATGATGGAACGAGAGTGCCCTGTTGTATATGTATATATTCTTTATTAACCTCTCCTTCCAGATAAAAACATTTCATATAATTGCACAGTTTCGTTAGAGGCATTACGTTCAGTGCTGGTGTCTGCAAGATTTATAAGATTTCTGGCTTCCTAGCAGTTCTTGTCATAAATCATAAATCATCGTCGATCGAACGGAATCCTTTGTAGACTAGGAGTTCCGAGCGCAGGGCCGGATGCAGAAATGAAGAGATCGTAAGGCATTTACCTGCGATCAATTACCCTTCTCGTTTACCAGCGATAGTAAAGTGGGATTTACGAAAAGATGGTTGCTCGCCTCGTGTGATTGTAAACCGACTCGTTCCAATGGTAGCCAAAAGATGTCTCTCGTACAGCAGTTCCACCACTCAGCAAGCATCTTATATTAGCATTTAGATTCTTTCGGTCAATCACGTAACTTGTAGACAGTACTCGACACAACTGTATGATGTTTGTGTTATGACTGTAGCCAATGCACCATATATGCATATATAGATTTGTTTAATTATATTCATGTAGGATGTTAAGAGGCCTCCCTGGCTATTTTTCGTCTAAACAGGAACCAGTAAAAAAAATATCGTTATATCAATAAATTATTATTAAGCGTAAACCAAAGAACCAACACAAGCAGCTTCAATCACTTTCTCTCTCTCTCTCTCTTTTCGCTATTTATTGTCACACAAAGGAATTAATAAAAACGCGTTCTTGGCCTATGCGGTATAGAGGCGTTTGTTGTCCTTTGCCACAGTGCCGACGGATACAGAAGCTGCTATACTGGTTTAACATTGCTATTGCCAGTGTGTGTATCAGTAAATTTGTTTTTCTTTTGAATTTGAAATAATGATACTAAAGAGGAAGAATGCTTTAAGAGTTTACTGATCTATCGATTTTATATACTCTTTATGCTCATAAGCTTATGTCATAATTTTACGAACATTTGTGCGGACGTTTTAGATGAAATTCGCATTTTTTTGCCATGTACAAGTTATGATATGTATTTGCCATCATACTAATCCTAACAATCATAAAAGCAAACCAAAAGTTAAAGATTGCTTTTTGGACGAGCTGTCTGTCTTATGATATCGTCTCCTTGTATTTACTGTGCCACCTTGCTTACCGCCACTCAGACCACTGGTAAATTTAAGATAGTAACTCGGATGGCAAGTTGTTTGAGAATACCACCGTTGTTTACGGCCCTGGAGCATGGAATATTTTCTGGGTGATCATGGAGTTTTGTTTTATTACCAGCAGTTAAATATCTGTCATATATCAATGAACTGGAATCTTTTTATATAGTTGTCGTGTCCTATAGCTATCGGCACCTTTATGCTATTCAAGAACTAGTAATATCTGATTCTGAAAAGATAACAGCCACTGAACGGGGCCATAGAGATTATGAAATATTGGGCGTGGGTCACAGAATAAAAAAGTTTGGAACCTCTAATGTAGACACTCATCTTATATGGATACCGTTTTACATTGAGAGTTGCGAGGGACAACTAATGTAAAGCGATGCAACTGCAAGTTATGTCCTTCAGTATTTCATATTAGCTGTTAGTAACAACCAACATTATTTCTATATCTTCCGCAGTTATTCTTCTTGTACTGGAACACCAATAAAAACAAACTGAACAAGAAAATCGGAACAAGTAAAGAAAAAAATTGAAATTAAACTTTTTTATCAATATTTCTTGATATGTAAAGACATAAATATATTTAATCCATGATCCACATGAATATACAATCATTTTACAATGCTACAGTGAGTTTTGTCATGCATTACTTAGGAGAATCTATCACAATAATTATATCTTCATTTGAATAGTTATACATATACATTTATTTGTATTTTAATAGTGGTTATCGTGAGTGTGTGTGCGTGTGTGTGTGTGTGTGTGTGTGTGTGTGTTGCGTCTGATAGATACATGGAATGACCTTATAATTCAGTTTATTGTGAAAAATAATGATTTTAACAAACAATATCGTCAGCAGAGGCCATTCAGATCTCGCAAAACACCAATGTCTCACTTAAGGGCTCCCAGTTCCGTTGTCGTTTTCGAAGTTCGCGTTTTCATAACCACTCTTGCTCTTGCTCTGTCAAATAAAATTAAAGTCATTCATTGTTAAAGCGTAAAATAAATAAAATAAGAAAACACACACACACACACACACACACACACTCACTCACTCACTCACTCACTCACTCACACACACACACACACTCACGCACACACACACACACACACACACACACACACACACACACACACACACACACACACACACACACGCACGCACGCACAATAAGCAACTAAAAAAGAACAAACAGAAATAATGAGGAGGGGATCAGCTTACATTTTTACCCCCTTTCTTCTTCTTGTAGAACACGAATCCTCCGTAGCCAGCCAGACCGACGACGACGAGGCCTCCTAAGACACCCAGGACGATGGCGACGGTAGGATCATATGGGTCATCTGGATTCATCTTTTCCTGGACGACTTTTTCGGCGTTATCGATGGCCTTTGGAAGAGAACGTAAGAGGATTATTTAGGGGCTGTGCTCAAAATACGGCTGGGTGCTTCATGCCCAAGTTGTGGTTAGCTTAATCAACCAAATTTATGGCTTGCATATTTCAAGATCTGAAGTACTTGGGTTTATTTTTTATTCTGACTCAAGGCTCACATCAAATGGTTAAAGGTAAAGGCTACAAAAGCGCTTATTATTATTATTATATATATATATATATATATATATATATATATATATATATATATATATATATATATATATAATATTTTTTTCTCTCCAAGGTTCTAGCTGTTGGAACTCCCCACTACACCTTCAGACCAGTCTAGTCAAGCTGGATTTGGTCGGAATAGGGAAAGGGGAAAGATGCAGAAATCAGGGATAGAGTTCTTCAACACATTTCTAAGTCCCGAGGATCAGTATATACAGATGGTTCGAAATTTTTAAAATGTGTGGGCTTTGCAGGATTGAGCAGGAGGAAGACTGCATTAGGCAATCTTTCTCCGACGGCCTCAATCTTCATTGCATAGTTACATGTCATCCTTTCAGCAGGCAAATTGACTAAAGGCATGAGAAACCATTCTTTTGTAATGTATTGCGACTCACGTCGTGCTTTGCAAGCAATCAATCACATCCAGTGGTAAGGGAGATTCAAGATTGGCTTGCACTGCTATCAGCACGTTAAACGATAATACTGGGTTCCAATGCATGTCGGTATCAACAGGAATGAGCGAGCTGATCAGAGGGCCAAGGTAGTCCTATAGTGCCCATTTTCCTCTCCCACATACCGACTTGAAACTCAGCATCAGAAGTTGTTTTCGTGACAAATGGAGGGGGCAATGGAGGCATACCTCTAGAAACAAGCTGCGAGAGATTAGAGATGACCTTGGCAGTTGAGTGACCAGCATCCATCTCAATCGACAAGTAGAAGTTGTATTAACAAGACTAAAAACCGGACACACAAGACAATATCACAATTTTATGAGTATTTGAAATGATGGGGGCAACTTCACCTCAGACACTGCAATTGACTCGAGAACAATAGTTCCCACAAGTTGACAGGGGAATGTTCAACTACTGATTTGATAATTAAACTTGTTACCTGCCAACTCAGTCTATGTGGATACATAGCCGAGGATGGCCTATAGGAGGACATAGGAAGTTGTGGCTTGGGCAAAGCAAGCAGATCTGGCTTTATCACCAGTGATTAGAAAAATCATAGGCCTTTTCATCTTGAGGCAAAGGTAAAGAATTTAAATGAATATATCAGGTAAGCATTAACATTACCATAGGTGTATGTACATATGTATACATACATGCATGCCCTAATATATATACATATATATATATATATATATATATATATATATAAAGAAAGAAAGGAGGCAAATAATATGAGGAAATAGGAAAGCAGACAGATATGAAATAAAAGAGAACATAAGACCACATACCTTGTCCACATCTGATTTCCTCTCTTCAAATTGCTCCTCATTGATACTCTCGAGGAACTCTGGGTCAGTTTCAGCTTCTTGGACCACTTGCTCAAGCCTTGCCGAACAGTTCTTGAGAGTTTCCAGCTGCTCCTCACCGGCTAATCCATTTTCAATCTCCTTCGTAACTTTTTCAATATCATCCAGAACTTCGATGAAGCGCGTGCACAGGTCATCCTCACCAGCTGTCTCGGTGCACAAAGGTGGGGTTGGGTCGCTGGATGACGTTGAGGGTAGGGGACTGGAGGAGGCTGGATCTGACGATGACTGGGTTGACGAAGCAATTGAAGATGATTCTGCGCCTTCCTCTCTCAGTGATAGAACCTGTCTCCCTCTGTAGTGCAGGAATCGACCAGAGTCTTTTTGAGTTGTAGGCTCTGCAGGTTTTGGGGTCGTTGGCTGAGCAGTTGTCGGTTTTGGGGTCGTTGGCTCAGCGGTTGTCGGTTTTGGGGTTGTTGGCTGAGCAGTTGTCGGTTTCGGGGTCGTTGGTTCAGCGGTTGTTGGTTTTGGGGTCGTTGGTTCAGCGGTTGTCGGTTTCGGGGTCGTTGGTTCAGCGGTTGTTGGTTTTGGGGTCGTTGGTTCAGCGGTTGTCGGTTTCGGGGTCGTTGGTTCAGCGGTTGTTGGTTTTGGGGTCGTTGGTTCAGCGGTTGTCGGTTTCGGGGTCGTTGGTTCAGCGGTTGTTGGTTTTGGGGTCGTTGGTTCAGCGGTTGTCGGTTTTGGGGTCGTTGGTTCCGCGGTTGTTGGTTTTGGGGTCGTTGGTTCAGCGGTTGTCGGTTTTGGGGTTGTTGGCTGAGCAGTTGTCGGTTTCGGGGTCGTTGGCTGAGCGGTTGTCGGTTTTGGGGTCGTTTGCTCAGCGGTTGTCGGTTTTGGGGTCGTTGGTTCAGCGGTCGTCGGTTTTGGGGTCGTTGGCTGAGCAGTTGTCGGTTTCGGGGTCGTTGGCTCAGCGGTCGTCGGTTTCGGGGTCGTTGGCTCAGCGGTCGTCGGTTTTGGGGTCGTTGGCTCAGCGGTTGTCGGTTTTGGGGTCGTTGGTTCAGCGGTCGTCGGTTTCGGGGTCGTTGGCTCAGCGGTTGTCGGTTTCGGGGTCGTTGGCTCAGCGGTTGTCGGTTTCGGGGTCGTTGGCCCAGCGGTTGTCGGTTTCGGGGTCGTTGGCTCAGCGGTTGTCGGTTTCGGGGTCGTTGGTTCAGCGGTCGTCGGTTTCGGGGTCGTTGGCTCAGCGGTTGTCGGCTTCGGGGTCGTTGGTTCAGCGGTCGTCGGTTTCGGGGTCGTTGGTTCAGCGGTTGTCGGTTTCGGGGTCGTTGGTTCAGCGGTCGTCGGTTTCGGGGTCGTTGGCTCAGCGGTTGTCGGTTTTGGGGTCGTTGGCTCAGCGGTTGTTGGTTTTGGGGTCGTTGGCTCTGCAGTTGTTGGCTTTGGGGTCGTTGGCTCTGCAGTTGTTGGCTTTGGGGTCGTTGATTGAGCAGTTGTCGGTTTTGGGGTCGTTGGCTCAGCGGTTGACTGGACCGTTGACTTCTCTGTTCCCATCGTAGTTCCTGCCGCTGTGGTAGTTGGAATGACGAGGTTCTCAAGTCTGTCCAATGTTGTCTGAATGGTGTTCAGTTCATCTTGTATCTGTTCGAGGGTGCTACCTGTTGTGGGAGATAAGAGAGATTTGATTTAATTCATTCCACTATTTTGTGATAGGAAGAGATTGGAGACACCAATCCAGATGAACAATATAAAATAATTATGTTTGACATATAATGTATTTCATTTAATAGACAAGAGTTTTAGATGCAAGTACTGTGCTAAGGGCAAATACTCACTATCTTGCCCGTTAACGTTGATAGTACAAGCTATCAACAGGACCAGTGCTGATACAGTGAATCGCCAGTTTCTAGACGTCATTCTGTATCTGAAAGCGTGGATAAGTTTTAATCAAAGATCTAATTCTGCATACCCATACATGCATAAACACACATAGTTACATTTCCATTTTTATTAGTGTCTTTTTTTCTCTCTAGCTCTCATAGACAGAGATATGTGTGTGTGAATGTACATGTATGTATGGGATATCTACATGATGTAATCCGAGGGAAAGGCCTATGTAGCTTAGCACCATTGCTGCTGTAGGAAGTCAACAATGATCTGCATTAGGACTTCAAGCTCTGGACTTTTCTGGGTTTATTCCTTTTTGTACGTATGTGATACACTAGGCTACAAGAGACACATAAATACTGTAATACATATAGGTATATATAAGAATACGTGTGTGTACATAAATACACCTGTGTGTATGTGTCATACATTTCTAGTGATAAAGAAGTAGAGAGCTATGATTTTTTTCAACAATTCATTGATATTACAAAAGCCAATTTCACCACAATAATATGGAATAATAGGCATCCAATAAAAAAAAAATCATAGTTAAAAACAGGCCCTACTTAGTAGAAGATGTAGAATTCCTTAATAAAGTAAATGTTGGTAGCATGGTACAGACTGATTTGAAGAGAAACATCAAACTTAAAAAAAAAAAAAAAATGGAATAAAATCCCTAACCTACGTAACTCGAAGAGCACGGAAAATAATCTTCTAGATACAAAACAGATACTTAATTCTCGATAACGAAGAAATTGGCCAATTCATCGATCAGTGATAAAGAAGAAAGTGATA